ACAAAGTCTTGGTCTTTCAAGAACATAGTAAACTTTTTATTTACCCAAACCCACACGAATAAATACATTTACTTTAAGCTTAGGTAAAAGGGAAGATGACGAGGACAATCTGCTCTTCCGCAGCGCCGCCCCCCTCCCTCCGGCTGACATTATGAATGTAAGCGTAGAGTAATCATAAATAACACGGCAGGGTCCGTTACAGTTTGTTTTCATCTGATTTCAATTAAACAAAGTCTTGGCTTTCAGAATATTAAACTTGTTTTGGCAAATTCAGATGATAAATACAACTTTGAAGCTTGTAACGGCATAATTACAAGCGGAGAACGGAGTAATGTGACGTCACAGCAGGCATAACAACAGCCGGTGTTTCTCGTGAGGGTTTTCCCCGGGAAACAAACGCAATACACACAAACGCAAAAAGACACACACACACACACACACACACACACACACACACACACACACACACACACACCCACACCCACACACCACACACCACACACCACACACCACACACACCACACACACTCGCACACACTCGCGAGCTTCTCCCAGACCAGTAATCCAAACGAAAATATCTTCCCTCCGTAGTATTTTGATGATTTGCTAATAACCAATCAGATCGATGGATTCCAGAGAAGAGAAAACTTTGAAGGTCTTTTTCTCAAAATGATGACTCGGTGACAGTCATTATATAATGTGACATATTTCGCTTAATATTTGGAGAACAAAAACAATCCTGATATCATTAGAAAGCTAGGAACATCCTCTTTCCAGCAGTGTATAAAACTCAAAAAGTGTCTTCGGGTCAATGCGACTGATTTCGATAGAGCGGGTCACATATAGTAAATGTGAGGTCAAGTGTGTCGCCAAGGTAACCGGTTAAAACTCAAAGTGGCGATGAGGTCTTAAAATGTATGGAAAAGGTTTTCCATTTGACTTCAGGATTCCTGCATGTACCCTGTTATTACAACACCACATGTGTATTTGTTTTATCTCCCCCCAAAATATAAGGAAATGCTAGGATCTTAAACTTGGTATTATTCATGAATCACAGATTAACTCTGCCCTTCTTTCCCTTTCTAGCTTCTCGGAAAAAAAAGGAATCGGGTGACGAATCCGAGGAGGAGGAGGAGGAGGAGGAAGACCAAGACAGCGATGCTTCATCCTTCTCCCCAAATGAGCAGAATGGAGACACGAGGTCCCGCAAACAGAGGACGTCAAGACAAGCTGCTAAGGCGAAGGGAAATGGTAAGGAGCATCCTCATCGCTTGTCATTAGATTTGTTGTTGACGCTTGCTTGGAAAGGTTTCTGTACTCAGTGGGTTTCCTCTTCCTGTTTCCTCAGACGCTCTGAGCCAAGTGAACGGACACCGTGCGAAGCCTCACAGCAACTCTGAGCAAGAGGAGGCTGCAGAGGAGAGCTCTGGAGACGACGAGGACGAGTCGGTGTCTCGGAAGTCCTCTAGAAGCAAAGCAACCTCCTCCGCCAAGACGAAGAAGAAGATTGAAAGCGAGGAAGAGGAAGAGGAGGAGGAGGAGGAGGAAGAAGAGTCTGTGTCTCGGAAGTCCTCTAGGACCAAAGCAACCTCTTCCGCCAAGACGACGAAGAAGAAGAAGATTGAAAGCGAGGAGGAAGATGATGAGGAGGAGGAAGAGGTAGAGGAGGATAAGGAGGAGGATGATGAGGAGGAGGAAGAGGTAGAGCACACTGAACACAGGACCACAAGACACAAACTTCCCGTCAGCTCAGACGAAGAGTACAAAGACCACAGCTCTCAGAAACGCCCTCACCAAAACGGGAGAAAGGTGGAGGAAGCCATCCAGAAGGACTCTAAGAAGAAGTGTAAAGTTTCACCAGACAAACAAAAACCTGCCTCAACCGACCAACCGGAGGGCGCCGAGTCAGAGGAGCTCAGCGAGCCTCCGAAGAGAGCCAGCAAGAAGAGCCTGAAGAGAGACCAAGAGAGCCATCGCTCCAGCGAGGAATCCGAATCCAATACCAAGAGGTCGACGAGGAACAAGACCAAGTCCAAACGGCCTCGCAGCGAAACCTCGGCCTCGGAGAGCTCCCAGCAGGAATACAAGCCCGACAGGAAGTCGAGGAGGAAACGCTCCACCGGCTCCTCGGACGAAGAGTCGGACAACTCGGACAACGCGTCCAACAGACGGCGGAACCTCCGAGCACTACCGAAGAAGAGTTACATCAGCGACAACTCGGAGGAAGACTCGGAACAGGGGAGCGCTGAGAAGACGGCGTCCAGGGAAAGCAAGCGAGAGTCGAACAGGAGCTCTCCCAACGGAGCCCGGAGTCAGACGTCTTCCAGCAAGAAACGCATCTACACCTCAGACTCTGAAGATGCTGCTACGGAGGAGGAGGACGGAGAAGACAAGAGCCATAAAAACAGCAGGTCCTCCAAACGTCCCAAAAGGGAGTCCAAAGGAGACACCTCGTCACATTCTGAATCCAGCAAGGAGGAGGAAGAGGAGGAGGAGGAGGAAGAGGAGGAGGATGTTGGGAGCAGGAAGAGAAACGCCAGGCAGCCAAAACAAAAACGAAAAGACGGCACTCGCAGCTCCGACTCGTCTTCAGCCGCCGAAAACTCATCCGCCAGCTCAGGGTTTCGCAGCAGTCCAAAGAGGAGGAGTCACAGGCGGTCGGGCGTCGCTGAGAAGACGACCGGCCGCCCGCTGAGGCCGCGCCGCCGTGCGTCCGCCTCAGAGGACGAGGAGGACGAGGACAGTGACGAGACGCGGCGTAAAACACAGCAAAAAGCACGCGTGAACACCCGCAACCGAGGGAAGCGGACGGTGAGCTATCACGACAGCGAATGAAGGACGGGAAGAGAACTGGAGACCTTTCAAACAAAGACACGATACGGTAGTAGCACTGGAGTCCTGGAGAGAAAATGCTGTGAATCTGTTTCATTCAGGGATATTTATATTTTCTATGAAAAACATGTTTATAGATGTAATACGAATTCAAGCATTTGAACTGCTGGGTCTTTTTTTCCCTCACAGCGAAAACACCACCGCCCCATTCTGCTCGTTGCGATTGTCCGCGTGGGTGCTACTCTTATATACCTCTCGTTTAATCAAGCATATTGCTGGCTTGCACTAAGATACACTGTAATGAGGTATTTCATACACTAGTTTTGCATTAGAAACTCAGGGGTCAAATACGTTTACTGTAGTCTCAGACATGCGGTTGTTTTCTGCGCAACAGAATTCGACTCCAGATGTCCAAGCACACTCACTGGGACAAAAAAGAAAAAGAAAATCCATGCTCAGACGTTTGACTACAGCACTCCTTTGTAAATCCACACACTCAATGCTCGTCTGTATTTTGAGTTATGAGCCAAAATGAACTAAATATTCTTTCCCCCATTGCATTAGTTTTTTTCTTCTCTAAGTTAGTTTGTGTTCTAGTGAATAGATGTACATATTTGATGGAGGAAGACGTCTGAGGTTCAGTCGGTTGCAAAGTGTTTATTTAATTTGTTTTTTTTATTTCTTCTCTTTTATCTTTTTTTTTTTTACAATTAACTGCATTGTCTTGCCATATGTCACAAATTGGTACTTGTTTGCCAAGTACAAAAGTACTCTTTGCAAAATACTGTGATTTCTCATATTGGGAAGGCCTGTTATTGTTCTCTGTTACCTACTTTCAGTGTTAAATTCTTTTTTTCAGAGTTGACTTAAAAACATTTTGCCAGTCACATGGTTTAATTTTGTTAACGGGGAAGGTTTCTAAATAAAGTCGCTTTATGACATTTTGCTTAATGTTTTTCGTACTACACCTTTTATTAAATCACAGGAAAACTATTATCGCGATGTGGTTGTGGAGTGCAATGGATGAGTTATTCCTCACAATAATAAAGACATCATTTCAAGGTGTGTTATGTTTCTAACTTTGTTACATTTGTTGCAGGTGCAAACTTAACAGACAGAAAGACATGTAGCTTGTAGGGAGGTAATACATTTGTTGACACATTATATACAAAGATATTTCTGCCACCAAGGATTTTGTTCTTAGATTCAAATGAATAGTTTGGAGATGTATCCCTACACTAAGTATCTAGTTCGCAATGTCAATCGATGTTTATTTATATTGCCCAATATCACAAATGTTACATTTGTCTCAGTGGACTTCACAGTTTGTACAGAATATCAGTATGACAATACGACACCCTCTGTCCTTAGACCCTCACATCGTACAAGGAAACATCAGTTGTCTTCGTCATGAGTGTACAATGAGGAACCGATAGATAGTTGCATTTAGATTTACTGCCACAATGAAAGCGCAATTTTAGAGTTACATATTTATAAATATTTTTATGTTTAATTGTACAATGTAAAATTGGTGTACAAAGCGTGATCACTAAATAATACGGTACACAATGGATTTAATTTAATTTTTGTAACGATTAGTTTTCCCGCTTATCACGCTGGTCAAATTCTTTTTGTAATGGCACCTACAGGCGATTGCGACAGCAGTCTTCATTCGGGAAAGTGCAATTTTCATTTCAAACAAATTCAAAGCTGGGTTATTCGATTTTTAGCAATTTCGTGTAGTGCAACTGGAAAATAAGCTTAAAGGCTCATTATTTAACCTCCAAAAAGGTATTACGTTTGTTGATTTCCCTCGGTTTTACTGATTGTATAATTACTAGAATTATGAAAAGTTTAGGTGCAATAAATGTAACTTTTTATTTTTACGGGACTTTGGGAAAAAGTAATAAACTGAATACACAATGAACTTTCTGCGGAGTGAGAAATCAATCTACTTTAGTAAACAAAGATCAAAAAACAAATATAATACTACGTTCGGCAATTTTTAGACACCGGATAGACATTATCCGATAATTTTGGTTAAATTTCATTAACAGACTGGGACCTGAAAAAACTCACTTTGAACCTTTTATTTCATTTTTTGTTTTTGCGTAGAAATGGACTCATAAATGTACGACATATTTACTATGTTGAACAACAGACCAGTTGATATGGTCTTTTGTTTCTCGTTCACACACCCTCTACTTTGAGGTAGACTTCCCTTGTTGCCCTAAAATCGGAAAACGTCCGGTAAATGTACGTGTTTCTTGCTAGATGTCGCTATCCTCTTCCTTTGGGGTTTATATAACATCGGATGTATACGGGTTTAAAGAAAAACACAGTTTTTTTATAGATGCAGGCCCTAGGACTCAGCACCGACTAGGACATCGACACCCAGGAATGCAGGACCTAGGACTCAGCACCGACACGGGACAAACGACACCAGGACCTAGGCGTAGAACTCAGGACCTAAAGCTCAGGGCACCGACTTGGATAGAGACGCCAGGGACGGACTGAGTAGTATGATGAAGGGACTACCGGGGTGTCCTAACAACTGTAGGAGCACTAAGTAGAAGAATAATATCTGTGTCCGGTAAAGGTTTTGTAAACCAGATGGATACGACATTTTACATAATAACAAAAGTAAATAGTGTGCCCGTAGATAACGTGCAGACAGGCATGACCCTCCCTAGGAGGAGACACGAGCAGGGACTCCAAAGAGCTGTTAAAAATGGGAATTTGTACTCCCCAAANCCATCATTCCCAAAACTGCTTTTTTACTGACTTAACAAAAGTATCTCTACTCTAACTGTCCTAACTTTAATGTAATATAATTATTTAATGATGTACAGTAACTGTACATCATTAAATAATTATATTACATTAAAGTTAGGACAGTTAGAGTAGAGATACTTTTGTTAAGTCAGTAAAAAAGCAGTTTTGGGAATGATGGAGCGTGGGATTGTGAGGTGTTTATCTGTGTGCAGTGCGGTATATGAGCAACAAGTTCTGCACTCAGATAAGAGTTTATAAAGCTAAAGAATCCAGTAATCTGTAGCAACATAAACACCGTCTTCCTCAGCGAAATTCCTAAAGCATGACTCTATTTCCTTCCGAAGCCCAAAGTCATCCCGGCCTGATTTTATTAGGGAAGAAATATAGGACAATTAGTGTCTAGATGTTCTATTATTTTCACGGTTGGGGTGAAGGGGTAGTGACTGTGTCTATAAACCACAGATGACACGTACTTTATGAGGACCACCCCACTAATAGACAAACACACACACACACGCAGCGTCTGGGCCACTCTGACATTTACCGAGCGCACAATAGCTCCTGTCCAAAATAATCTGTGTTTATGTTAGGAAGTCCCTATCTTTCAGGCCCTGCTGCTTGTTCGAGGGCGGGGGCACGAAATCACAGGAAACACCTTCTGTTGCCCAGCTAAGCCCCACAAGCCCATGCAGTACAATAAGATATTAAAAGCCTGTAACTTCCCTGAACGTCTGGAGGAACGGCTTCACCAAACTGATGGAAGAATGGACAAACAAAATGAACTCTCGCAGGACATAGACGGAAGCAGCTCACCATTCTCGTCCCCGCCTGATGACTTCACTCCGAGGAGCATGACTCCATCTTTGGTGCTTTCCGGCCTGCTCTGGAAAGATGCGCTGTGAGGAGACAAAGGGATGGATGTTTTTTAACTTTTGAAATGCCCTTGCAAATAGAGTACAGAATTATATATTTAAATAAAGTATTAAACTCACTTCTCAGTTCCAGTATCAATAGTTTCTGTGGAAGAGAAGACAGGAAAATACGTTAACAAACCCAAATAGTATTCAATATAAAAAATATCTTGCAATAAGTTGAATAATGTATGAATATAGGAACCTTTGTTTACATATCATTTGTTTAAGTTAGTCTATCACAGTGTTTTGAGAGTTCACTGTTTGTCCCTGTCGCCTAAAAAAAGACTCATCCCATAGTTAACCTAATAATGGTTTGGGTTTAAATAGTCATGTATGTAACTTAAGTTAATGTTCAGTGTTTTATGGAAAGTTTTAGACTGGTGTGATACGTGTTGTACTCTCACCTGTGTGATCGTGGATCTTCTTGCATTGGAACTTGAGGAGGATGAAAGCAGCAGCTGCGACCAGCAGGACGGGCAGCACGATCCACCACAGCCTCTTGTCTGAGGGGGAAAGACACGATCATCAACATCAATCTGATTTGAACATCTGAACAAATGGCAGACCATTTTTTCAATTGGAACTTGTTAGTTTCTTTGCATATCTTTTGGCACAGTGTGTGGGGTATGACTTGGTATGAGTTAGGTAAGATGTGAGTACAGTACATTACCTGGTTCTTCAGGAGGATCTTTGCCAGTTTGAGAACCTATCAAACAATGTGTATTTGAAGAAAAATAGTTGAATTTATGACAGGACTTCATATATTCACGGCTTCATTATGCAGTATGTTAGTACATTTAACTTACCTGCATCTTGACTTGTTTCATTTTGATGTCCTTGAATCATTGGAGGAGGTGAAAAAGTGTTTTGTACGATTGAAATTATGGAATTAATTATTTGAATGAAGCTATTCAAACACTAGTCAAGCAACAAGAAGAAGAAGAATAACAACAACAACAACAACACCAACAAAGACAATAACACGTGATGTTACTTATTTTGTTATATACATACCTTTGTTTGGTTTTTCAGTGCTTTCATCTGATCCTTTAAATACATTTAAATACTGATTAAAGACTGCTTTCATATAAAGAATCAACCCAGCATTGTCACACCAGAATATGTATTTTAAATAATTGATATAAATATATTCAAACACTAGTCAAGCAACAAGAAGAAGAAGAATAACAACAACAACAACAACACCAACAAAGACAATAACACGTGATGTTACTTATTTTGTTATATACATACCTTTGTTTGGTTTTTCAGTGCTTTCATCTGATCCTTTAAATACATTTAAATACTGATTAAAGACTGCTTTCATATAAAGAATCAACCCAGCATTGTCACACCAGAATATGTATTTTAAATAATTGATATAAATATATTTATAATATAATTTATTAAGGTTTACAACATTTAATCATTTATCTGAAAAGCTAGCTCATTACTGATGATGTATCTGCTCTGAATTTCTTCTCACCTGGATTCACAATGGTCGTGTTGGGTTTTACTGATCTCGGTTGCAAAGAGTTATCTGAATTCATTCATATAAACTGATTTAGAGCTCAATATTATACCAAAACCCTTTCAAAAATAGAATAACAAACAAAGAAAAACGTACTTCCAGTTTCATTCCCCTTGAAATGGACAGCAGAACTGGCGTTCAACTTCTTGTCTGTAGATGTTGCTGCAGGTGTAGCAGTCGTATGTGCTTGGGTCGTAACATTGGCTTTACCATGGGCAAAATAAAAAAAGAGAAATTAAAGACCTTCCATTTATTTATCGACTTAAGATATATGCACACTCACTCTCATCAGGACTTTTGGTGGTGGTAGCATTAGGGGCAGTGGTAGATACAAGGGCTGATGTTGCTGGGGGGGTTGATGCTGCTGGTGATGTTAATGCTGGTGTTACTGCTGTTGATGCTGCTGGTGATGTTGATGATGGTGCTACTGCTGTTGATGCTGGTGGTGCTGTTGATGATGTTGATGCTGTTGATGATGGTGCTGCTGTTGGTGCTGGTGATGGTGTTGATGCTGTTGATGATGGTGCTGCTGTTGGTGCTGGTGATGGTGTTGTCGGTGCTGCTTGTGATGCTGTTGTTGGTGCTTTGGTTGCAGCTGTTGTTAATATGCAAAAGAGAGATAGATTTGGCATAATAAGATTGCACAAGATGTTCAGAAAACTCAAGGAAAGAAAAGATGCACAAAAGTCAAATTGCAATTAGCTTTACAAGTCAAACAAATGACAAAAAACAACCTTATTTTTGGCGGAAAGTTGGATGAGAAGATCAATAACACTTAGCACATGTCCGTTAAATGTAATGCCAGTTAGCTTAGCTTAGCAGAAAGATAGGAAGTGGGGAAACAGCTAGACCGAGTCTGACCACAGGTAAGAAAATCCACCAACCAACAAGCAAACTATTTAACATGTTAAATATTAAAGGTTATACTGGTTTTTTCTGTCCCCCAATAAATGCAGTTGCCAGCCAACTAGAAACGTGTAGAAGTTACTGCTCCTGACTAAGAAATTGTCCAGTAAACCCTGCAAAATGGCCCATTTTAATTGATACATTATGTCTTTTGTACAAATGAAAACACATGTAAATAATCAACCCAGTCTCATGGCATTTCGTGTTATAGTCGCGAAATTAATTTAATCTATTGATTCGTGTCACACAGAACGATTTTAAAATCAATGTATTTCTATTGGTAGTATGTTTCGTGCCTGCACCACGTCTTTTTGTCCAGTCGGGTCTTGGAAGGTGGACGAACACAATAAAAAAGCGTTTAGGAAGAAAAACCGGCGTGAGGAAACACCTTTATACCCAACTGGTAGCATCTCGAGGGTCAATGCTGGACCTTCCCGATGTTATAGGAACAAAGACTGAAAGAATCTAAGATTTTGAGTTACAGTCACTGTAGTTCTATCCTGAAGGTTGCGACTATTCCCAAATACAGGCAGTTAAACACAACCCGGGTTCGTGTTTTATATTCGTTTAGGTAGAGTGTTCAACCTCACCGCCCTACAAATTTATTCTAAAAGATACATTAGGTCAGACACTTTTTTTACGGCACCAACTTATCAGTCGATCTAACAACCTTAGTCCAACTTTGATCGTACCTTTCCAAGCGTTCAACTTTTGACAAATCCCGTCGCGGTGGAAGCAACCAGTTAATAAGTGTGTCAGAGTGCCGTAAAACACAAACATCAGGTCCTTTAATAGGATAACTAAGCACAAGTGGTTGGCTAATAGGAGAAGTGGCAAAAAAAAGCAAGTGTGTGTCTTGCTAAAATTTTTCGTTAACATTTATTATTGTTAATCTTCCTTTTTAACTACAAATTTTTCATGTCCTAAAGGTCATAAGACTATGTCTTTGACTAAAACCTTCGGTTACATAAGATTAACTCATAGCAAAGCACGCGACGTAGTTTATTATTGTCTTTTTTTTAATCTTCGGCTTTTTTTTCAATTTTTTATGTCTACAAGTCATAAGACTCCCGAGACTCCCGGGGGTAAAGAAAAGGCGAGCGTCTTCGCCTTGTTTTTTGAGGGTTTGTAATTGATAAAATGTTATTTTCCCAATCCCGAATCCCATTCTTAACTCATCTTATTATAAACATACTTGGTCGTGTC